ATAACTTAAATTAACCCATTTCTTTTCATCTGTATGCCGCCACATGGCTTGTGGCTTTTACCTTTCCTCCTGCATGTCTTTCTCCCTCTGCCTGACAACTCTGCCTTTCTTACTACCTGGGACATCTCTGTTCTCAGAAGTCCTGCTAAGCTCTTCCTGCCCAGTTATTGGCCATTAAGCTATTTATTAAACCAATTGCAGTGAAACATCTTCATACATTGCAAAGCAAAATTCTGCAACAGTTATCTCCCAGAATACTGTGGGATTTTTCATTGGTATGGCAACTTGGACCTACTCATTCTCTAGCAAATAATCCTTTGCCCAACTTTCTGTGAATAACCAAATAAACTGAATGATTTACAACTCTAAACTTAGTTGTAATAATTTCTTTGATCCTACCATTGGGGCTTCATTTAGCAGAATAGACTCCTGTTCTCCTCTCCACAGAACAAGCACAGAGCATTTGGCCAGCTGGCCTCAGAAATGGAGGCTGAGTTTTAGTGTCTTCACTGTCCACCCTCCATCTGACAGTCATCATTTGCTTTTCCAACTCAATTCTTGGATGATGATGTACCAGAAGAAGTAGACCACAACTTCTAAAGTTCTAGGAATTGAAAGTTCAGGATCACCAAGAACATGCTGTTGTTTTGATTAGAGTGTCTGCTATTCTAGTGAAGCACAGGAAATGGAAAGGGTGGGAAAATACTGTTTAAGAGAAATTAGGGCATGGTTACTTATTAAAGCACATCCATGAATTAAAGAATTACTTACTTATTAAATTATCTAGGAAAACTGTACTACAGAGTAGACTATAGCTACCGGAGTCATTTGCATGGCATCCTGCATGAGAGGTGAGAGGGTGCTAGGCGTCACGTATCGATGCTTATGCAAATTTTATAGCAAGGAGCAGACAGAGGCTCAGCAGATGGAAAATTGTTAAGAAGCATCAGGTGTGAGGGGATTCTGATGAAACACATCTACAGGAATCTTGCTGGTAGCCATATAAGGAGATATAACCTGAGGCACTGTTGGAGAAAAAACGCTCTGGATGAGACAGGGATTATCAGATAGGAAGGGTGGAGGTTTGTGCTAAACTGACTTAATATCATTGTTGGCTGAAATGGGATGCTATAAAGATTTGCATAGTCAGGCTTAGCACAAGATTTAGAGGTCTAAACTAAGATGAGCCAAGTATAATTTAACAGATTTTTCTCTATAAACAGGTATCACAATGACTTTCAGCAACAATGTCTTACTCTCTCTGGCTTAAGCATCCATAACTGCTTTTCTTGCATTACAAATTCTGGACTTTGTCCACATTTGGTAGTGTAGAGGAGACAGATATTGTATCTTCTTTCTCCACGTGCATGGGAAACAAGTTCATGAAATAATGTACAGAAAAAAATTGGTGTCTCAATGTATATCACTTACCATTCTATTGCTGTAATAGGATACCATGACCAGGGCAACTTATAGATGGAATGGTTTATTTGAGGCTTATGATTCAGAGGATTAGGGTTCATAATAAAGGGGACAGCATGGCAGCAGGTGGCAGACGTGACAGTTGGTACAGTGGCTGAGAGCTCACGCCTCAAAACACAAACAAGAAGCAGAAAGCACACTAGAAACAAGTGCATGGCCTTTGAATGCTCAAAGCCTACACTTGGTGACATATTTCCCCCCAACAATGCCAGATCTCCTAAATCTACCCAAACAGAGTCACTAACTGGGGACCAAATATGTAGATATCCCAGAATATGGGGACATCTCATTCAAACCACTATACTGTTTAATAAATATTATATATCCTTAAAAAGTAAGAAAGTTTGATGTGTGACATTGGGACCTGATTTATTCCACATAAGGAAACTTATGTTGTATTCATGTATTTTAAATTTGGGGAAGGGCATGTGTGGAGGTCAAAGGACAATATACAGTAGCCAGTTTTCCACTTCCACTATTGAGTTCCGTAAATTCAGGTCACCAGGCTTTCTGGAAGATGTATTTACCTTGCAAGATTTATCTTTCAGGCCCACTATTTATCTTTTTAAATGGCCTTTTAAGGGGCTAGTGCCACTGGGCCCCATACCTACAATAATTAAAATGGGAACTTTCATGCAAAATATGTGCCACTCAATGAAAAGAGTGACAGGTCACATGGTGCTTCTTGGTGGTTCTCAAATGAATCTCAATCAGAAAAAAACTATAAATTATGGTATGTACAAAAATATGTAAATTATTTCATTTTGATCCAATATGTAAAAAAATTCATTAAAAATATTATTGTCAAAATGGCAAGATGCTTATTTTTCCTTGAAAGGACTTCTTTAATGAATATATATTTTATTTTATTGAGAAAATCATAATGATTTGGAATACTTCTGAATCTTGGGTTTTTTATTAAAATAGATTCTTCTCTCATACAACATATCCTGATTATAGTTTCCTCTGCCTCCACTCCTCCCATTTCCCTCTACCTCACTCTCCCCCAGATCCACGCCCCCTCCATTTCCTCTTCAGAAAGAGCAGGCCACCAAGAGATAACAGTCAAGCAGGACAAAACAATATGGAGTAAGACAAGGCAACAGCCCTCATATTAGGGCTGGACAAGGCGGCCCAATAGGAGGAAAAGAGTCCCCCAAACAGGCAAAAGACGCAGAAACACACCTGCTCCCACTCATAGCAGTCCCACAAAACACCAAGCTAACAGATACAGCATGTCCTCTGAGGACCTGGTGCAGACCCACGCAGGCGCTTGCTTGCTGCATCAGTCTCTGCGAGCCCATGTAAGCACTGCTTAGTTGATTCAGTGGGCCATGTTCTCCTGGTGACTTAGGTTTTTAAGTTCTGGGTTGTGGTAGTTAATGGCTACTATTATTTACCTGTGTTTTCTTCTACCTAAAAAATTCTTAAGTTCTCTTTATCTAACATTTTAACATTGAGGTTCATGAAGTGTCTTAACTTAAATCTCAAAACGAACACTGTTTCCATACAGTAAAACCCAGAGAGAGCAACTGAAGAAATTTCCATATTTCTCATTTACCCTTTTCCACTTATTAGCATAACTTTTTAGCAAATGATTCTTATATCATTAATAGGTTTCTAAAGACATAAAAGGTCGAAGCATCCCTGAGCAAAGAGACTAGGCAGGATATCTAACCAGTAGAGACATCATAGGAGACCTTCATCCAGTCATTTCATCCCCTGTCCCACCCAAGGGTTTGTCCTTGAACATCCCCTTTCTGTTTCAGGACAGCCTTCCCCTAACTATTCTCTTTTCCTAAAATCTGTTATTTAATTTTGTTTTATGTGTTTGTGCATTTTACCTTCACCATTTGTGTGTCTAGTGAGTGCTCAAATGGAGAATAAGAGAGGATTAGATTCCCTGGAACTAGAGTTAAAGATTATTGGGAGTCCCAAGTGTGTCCTGGGAGCTGAACTCGGGTCTTCAGCAAGACCAGCAAATACTCTTAACTGCAGAGCCATCTCCCTAGTCCCTCCCTTGTTTTTTTGGGAGACCCACCTGGATTCAACCCATAAACTGGGGAAGTATCCTAGGGGCTGTATTCCCACCAGGAGACATTAGACTTGAATATGCTGACCCATACTACTCCAGGGTGTTTCTTATTCTAAGTTAAAACCATGGTTAGGCTGAAAAACTATTCAAAATTACCTTTTTTTCTTAAATAACCCACAAAGCACAACAGCGGGGTACTAAATGATCCCAGGCTACCTTCCTCTAAAAGGAACCTTTGCACATATCCCCTATAGTCCACTGTGACAACACAAACTCCATCCTCCAGGACAGGATAAAATCAGATTTCTGTAAATGCCTGGAGTGATAGGGCCTGGGGCCCAATGCTGTCACCAATACAAGCGGTCATAAAGATATTAGGATTGCTGGGTGGAGCTTCCTAGCCAGAGATTAGGGATTTAAAGACTGAATGATGTACAGCTGGGCTAGATTCTAGATTCCCCAGGAACCGCTGAAGAGCTGAGTCAGTGGAGTGCACAAGTACAGCATTGGACATCTCAGGTGAGGCCCTGGCTCTGCCAAAGTAGACTGGGACCTAGAGTAGAGCCCTGGAGAGACTCCCTTGAGAATGAGGCAAACCCAATAGGAATGAGAAAACTTGGCATTCAGGAGCCTTGGTAGAGAAGCAGAGGATAATGATGGAGGGTCGACAGAGCCAACCAGTCCCTTCAGGCATCCAACTTTGTGCTAGATCCCTATGAGTGTAAGTCTGAGCCTGGTCACAGGGAGGGTCTGTTGGTCCCCTGAACAGTGGCAGCCACGCCCAGTGCTTCCCATTCAGTTAGGATCACCTTTTCCCATATCAATACAAGTTAAAACCTCAGGTCTCTTCTGACCTGTACAAAAGGAATACCAAGCAGCATGCCCCTAACCTGGTGTCTTCTGGGGGAGTTGAATGGAAGACTGGAAAGTCTTGAGCTGACCATGCTGAGATTGCTCTCCTCTTCGCTGCACTCCTGCTGGTGGCTCTGGTTTCTAGTGGCATGACCTTGTGAACCCTTTCCTTTTTGAGGCAATAGCAGAGACTCAGGAGGCACAGTGACAACTGTGTGTCAGAGGGATGAGTAGGTGTTGTCTTTCTTATGTTCTCTTAGCTCTTGTAGTTCCCTTACTCTGTACAAATCATAGGCGTACTCTGCCTTACGTCCTTAGTTACAGCTTTAACTTTTGGAATCATGGGGTATGTGAACATCTGTCTGATAACTGAAGCTCACACTACTTACTGTTTCCGTCCCTAGAGCCATGAACAGCCACTCATGTTGGTGGCCTAACAAATACCTCCATATGTTTTCTTCAGACAAACCACATCCTTAGCTTTTTCCATGTTGCTTAGATAAATACTTGGAATAGTTCAAAATCTTGATCCACTCTTGGTACCTTAATTTCTAGTAAAGAAAGAAAAATTTTAGTAACTTTGAAACATGTAGACTGGGATTTCTCTGGTTTTCCTCTAGGTACTTGAGACATGACTCCCACTGTCTTCCTAGTCATCCTGTGCTTGGGAGTGGCCTCGGCTGCTGAATCCCCTAATCCTACTCTGGACGCTGAAGAGCAAGAGCCGAAGATAAAAAATGAGAAGCTGGTTGGTAACATGGGAACTGTTCAAAGGGATCTCAGAAGGAATAGTCCTGGCTGTTAGGAGTACATAGGCATGAAATAGGTCATAGTGGTCATCCATCACCAAGGAATTGCTGAAAGTTGTATACTATGAACACAAGATGGCCTGCATTGTGGACATGTAGGGTGTGGAGAATGGCTGGCTATAGTGTCCTGAGATCCCTCTCCACGGCTCCTCTTTATCTGTCTCAGCAAGTCCACTTGGTCAGCTTATATGTGGAGTTAATATGAAGGAAATACTGCTATTTCTGCTATTTCTAGGACGAAGAAGGATTCAGAAGAGGGATGTGGGAGGAGTTTATGAAGAAGGTTGAACTCTACAATAAGGAAAATGGCCAGGAGGACAAGGATGACTTCAACATAGAAATGAATGCCTTTGATCACTTGGTGAGTGTGGCTTAGAAGGCCTAACTCTGTGTTTCTTTACATCACATTTTTACAGTTAGTTTGTTGGTTTTCAATGTCTTATTTGCTCTTTCCATAAAGACTGATGATGAATTCGTGAAAATTATTGATAAAGTTTTATACCCAATGCTTGGAGAGAAGGAAAAAACTCAAACACAGCCAGTTGGTGATGTCCCTGAATTTGAGGATTTGGCAGGGAGCAGTGCTGTGACTCCTGTACAGGATCAGGTAAGATGGTGTCACACCCCCCACCCCCAACTACCCACTGGGAAGCCAAGAAGGAACTGAAGTTCTCACTTATGTCAGCTGTGGAACAACACACAGTTCACTGTTGACTAAGTCTTCTGTTCTGCAGATTGTGGCTAGAGTTGATATTTGTTTGTAGATGACAACCGGATTGTGGTTAAAGTTGATACTTGATTGTAGGTGACAATATTTTCTTCTTGCTCAGGGTAGATGTACTGCTTGTTGGGCTTTAAACATGGCTGGTGCCCCTGAAGGGCAGGTGTTCCACAGGATGTATTGTGACAAAGCCACCTTGCTGCATTCCTTTTAATTAATGCAACATGTTCTTTGCTTCCAGCCAGAGTAACATGGATGGCAACATAAAGTTAGCCAAGGAGTGAAGCAATCACTGTGCCTTTGTCTCAGAGGCTTCTACCCCAAGATGTGAGATGCCTGATGATGAAAAAGAAGGTCTGTACTAGAGGAAGGGGAGCAGAAGCAGCAAGGGGCCTCCCCATCACAGGATCCAACACTCAAATTATTAAGAGGAACATTGTTGTGAGAACTCCAGGCATGCTCACACTAAAACAAACAAACAAAAAACAAACAAAAAAACAAAGAAACAAAAACTTACATACACTTCAGCCTATGCTCTTAACTCCTATATATTAATGATTCTCAGAATGATTTTTAGATTAAACTTTAAAATAAAGAATATACAAAGCTATGTCTTTAAAAATAAAGATTTATTTAAAATGCAGTATTCTGGTTTCTTTCTATTTTTGTGGAAGTGACTTTTTATGTGGTTAACACGTAATTCTGCTTGAAGGTATACTCACTGTGGGATGGTATTCTGGGAGGAAGTATGAGTGAGTCTTTTCATTAAGGAGTCAGTATTCCATCCTTGATTAAGCTTTGTTTAGAGGGTTTTACGCACCCTCTATTGGCAATGATCTGAAAGTCTATTTGAAAATTTCTGGAATTCAATGATTTTAATTCACATGAATTTGACAAGTGAAAATTGTTTGCATTCAGTGCAAAGAGATGGCCCCTCATTCTGTTCAACTGCACTGCGTCTGTACTGTGAATTTCTTTTATGTTTTAAATATATTAAAAGATTTTATTCATCCTCAAATTGAGGACAACTCAAATGACATCAGTGGGTGAATGGATAATAAAACTGAAAATCTTACAAGTAGGACATGCTCAGCAGAACAAAAAAGCAACCACTAGTGCACAGGGCAGGGAGTCTCAGGAGCATCATGCTGAGGTAAAAAGCCAGGACAAATTCCAAATAGTTGTTGCAGCTGTGATTTTAAAGATTACACTCTGATCTAAACTCTTTTTACTTTTTAACAATGCATATATTTCCTGAAAATTATGCACCAATAATAGTAACTTAAATTTGTTTTTCTATAGCTTTTATTTTTTGAGATTAAAATTACATAATTTCTCCATTCCCTTCTTTCCTTACCAATACTCCCATATGCCTCTTATGCCTTTTCCTGCTCTCTTCCAATTCATAGCCTCTTTTTTCCACTAAAAAATTGTTACATATATTCCAAATTACATAAAAACAACCTGCTCAGTGTATGTAATGCTAATTGTATATATGTTTATAGGTCTGACCTTTTGGTATTGGATAACCAATTGTTGGGCTCTTCCCTGGAGAGTGCTCTCTCTTTTTTTTAAATTTAATTTAATTTTATTTTACAATACAATTCAGTTCTACATATCAGCCACGGATTCCCTTGTTCCCCCCCATCCCGCCCCATCCCCTCCCCCCCCCCAGGCCCTCTGAATAGGTGAGACAGTCCATTGGCTTGATCTGTTTTGGAGGCATCCAGGCAGTGGGACCGGGTCCTGTGCTCATTGCATGAGTTGGCTGTTTGAAACCTAGGACTGATGCAGGATCGCTTGGATCGGCCTGGGAGAAGGGGACTGGACCTGCCTGGACTGAGTCTACCAGGTTGATTTCAGTCCTTGGGGGAGGCTTTGCCCTGGAGAATACTCTTACTTTCAGCATTCCTACATTGCTAGGAATACATACTTTTACTATGCATACTAATAAATATACAATCATTAAAATGATAATAATAAATAGTATTTATAATTAAATTATTATCAAGTATTTATGAAACATAGCAGAATTCTTGCTGTTTATTGGGCAGAAAGAAGGTGTCCCATGACTCACAAGTCTTGAGTTTCCCTTAGTCTGTGCTTTAGGTAGATTAGAAATACTGAAAAGGTTTTCAAGTCTGTAAAGAATTGTGTTGGATTTTGATGGGGGTTGTAATGAATCTGTAAATTGCTTTTGGTAGGATGACCATTTTCAATATATAAATCTTACTGATCCATGAGCATGGGGGATCATTGCATCTTCTGATATCTTCTTAAATTTCTTCTCAATGATTGATGATTTTGATATCTTGCCATCTATTCTCTTTGGGCATTATTTCTTCCTTTTGTTCTAGATCTTTCAGACATGCTATTTAGTTGCTAGTTTAAGATCTTTCAGATATTTTTATGTGAGTACTTAGTGCCATGAACTTTTCTCTTAGGACCACCTTCATTGTAACCCATAACTTTGTGTATGTTATGTACTCATTTTCATTTAAATCTGAGAAAGTTTTGATTTATTTATTGATGTCTGTCTTGACCCATTTTTATTCAGTAGTGAGTTGTTCAGTGTCCATGAGTTTGTAAGCTTTCTGTTGTTTTTAATATTCATCCTTAATCTGTGATTGTCAGAAAGAATAAAGGGTGTTATTTCAATTTTTTTTTGTATATTTGTTGAGACTTGCTTTGTGCCCAAGTATATGGTTGATTTTGGAGAAAGTTCCATGAGTGGCTGAGAGAAGGTAGCAGACAATGCTAACCAAAGATTATACCTTGACCACATTGCCAAAAGTCAGGAACACTGCAAACATGAAGTGTTTTCTTTCATTATGATTGTAATATTGAAATGAACTCTATTGCTACTATCTGTGTATACCAATTTTCTGCTTAGAGTTTCATCCAATTTGACTTGGAGAGAGCATATGCATTTTTTAGGAAAGTATCCATCTATCCATCCAATTCTGCTTTTAACAAACATCCAAAACTCTTCAAATCTCAATTATTAGACACCAAGTATTCAATAAAATTCTGAGGAACATCAAAGGAACATGGCCATACATCACATGTAGGAATTTATATTTCCTGTAGTTTCTCAGCCAAACAACTGTATTGTTTTCCAATTGTTGTTACATCTGCTCTGTGATCATGTACACAGCTGTGCTAGTCAGAATAATGAAGTCCACACAGCAGTTTCCTCCTGTCCAATCAGGACCTGCAGGCCCACTACGTCCTATGCGCATGAGGCATCTATTTTTTGGTTTGAGCAACTCCAATATTTTTTTCTAAAGCTGTGAAGCCCTGAGCTGAGATATTGATGGTCAGGCTGAATGACAAGTTTCTCTAATTTCTCGGTTTTCTTCTGATTATTTGATCCACTCTGAAGATGCTTCTATCTGTCATAGGCTGAGACACTAATGGTTGGTCTGAGGGACATGTACTTCTGACACCTCTGTTTCCTGCTGGTTATTTCATCCTCTCTGAAGATGTTCTTGTCTGTCATAGGTTGAGTTGCAGACAAGGCAGCCACAGACAGGTTGCTTGGTTCTACAATGTGTTGTCAGCAGCACCTTCACAGTTCTTAGGCTCTCATATGATCTCCATACAGATGCAGAATCTGAGGTAGGACTGTGCGATCTACCATCTGTCCTCAATGGGTTCATCCTATGACAATTCTGTTGTTTCTGAAGATTGTTAATTATACAAAACAGAGAACATTCCATGAATCTTAAGATTCTCAGAAGAGCCACATTCTGTATGACACAGCTTTGGCCTGGGGTCTGGTTAGTGTCTAGAATTATGTTTTTTGGCCTGGGATGCCTGACTCACTAGTCAAGCTACCTTATGACTCTACTCTGTAGGTCAGGCTGAGACTTTAGGGAAAAGATGGAGACACAGGCTGCTCTGCTCCTGCACCACTAGACTCCTTTATAAATATTTCTCAGGAGGCCCTGGACAGTACACTCCTGGATTCTACCTTTCGGCAGCCACAGCACTCCAGGTGGGAGCAGAGACAAACATGGTACACAGGCCCTGGATCCTGCCTAGTCATGCTCCAGAAACATCCCCATAGCTTTTCTCTGTTTACCTGGGACTTCTCTTCTTTCTCTAGATTTCTCTTCTTTCTCTAGATTTTATTTTGTCCCCTCCCCCACACCATGGGGTTTTGTTTTTTTTAAGATAATAATATAATTACATCATTGCTATTTTCCCTCTATTCCCTAAAAGCTCTCTCATTTACCTTTCCACATTTACCACTTCTGATTCTTCTTTAAACATTGATGGGGTGGGGGTGTCTTTCTGTATGCTGTGAAAATATGTTGCTCTGATTGGTTGATAAATAAAGCCATTTGGCATATGGCGAGGCAGCTTAGAGGCAGGCAGAAATCCAAACAGATAGACAGGAAGAGAAAGGAGAGGCAAAGCAAATGCCAGCTGCCACTACTGAAGGAAGAACACATCAGCAGACTAGTAAGCCACAGTCATGTGGTAGCTTACAGATTAATAGAAATTGGTTAATTTAAGATACAAGAGCTAGCTAGTAGGAAGCTTGAGCCATAGGCCATGGCCATGTAATTTGTAATTGATATAAGCCTCTGTGTGTTTACTTGGGTCTGAACGGTTGCTGGATCAGGTGAGACACAAGGATTTTATAAGTGGCTGTGGGAACTTGGTGCCAGGTGAGACCAGGAAAACTTCTAGCTAAAAAATGCTGGTCTTTCTTTCATTAATTGTTACTACATGCATATATTCATATACATATATATTCCTAACTATAGCTTAGTCAGTATACATAACATTACTTCTTTGCAGGTTTTCAGGGCTGACCAGTTGGTATCAAATAATTCCTTGTTCCCTAGGTTTTTGTGACCTCATTAGTGCTCTCCTACTGCTTGAGAATGGCCTCAGCTGCTCCACCACATGGTTCCAGTTTGAATGCTGAATGGGAGGAATGGAAGATAAACTTTAAAAAGTCCTACAGCCTGGTTGGTAGCATGGTCACTGTCCAGAGAAAGAATGGCCCTTGCTATTTGGAGTCTGTAGGCATAAACATGACCACAGAGGCCAGCCATCATTGAAGACTTGGTTAAGACATGCACTATGAAGCAAGGTGGCCAGCCTTGCTGATCCTCTGGGTGTGGAGAATGGCAGGCTCTAGCGTCCTGAGATCCCTCTCCATGGCTCCTCTTGACTTGTGGGTTAAAATGAAGGAAATACTTTCTCTTATATGTATCAGGATAAAGAAAGATACAGGAGAGCAGTGTGGGAGGAGGAGAAGAAGAAGATGATGAAGGAGCACAACTAGAATATCAGCAGGGCAAGACCAGCTTCTACATGGGCCTGAATGAATTTGGTAACATGGTGACTGAGATATGGATTGTTAACACTATGCTTCTTCTCTGTACATCTTTCTGGTATCTGTTGGTTTTCATTGTTTTATTTGCTTTTAATAAAGACCTATGAAGAATTCAGGTAAATATGCTGTGGAAACATAGTGTGGACAGAAGAAAAACTTATACTCATGTATATCATGTATGATATACATGAGTATAAGAATTTGACAAAGGACAACAATGTAACACCTAAGAAGGATCAGGTATACACTGTCACATTTCTACCCTCAACTGCCCACTGGGAAGCCAAGAAGGAACTGAAGCTGCCACTTAAGTCATCTTTGTAACAACACACATTCACTGTTTGACTAAGTGTTCTGCTCTGTGAACTGTGGCTAGAGTTGATATTTGGTTGTAGGTGACAACCAATTTTTCTTGCTCAGGGTAAATATACTTGTTGAGTTTTAAACATGGCTGGTACCCTTGTAGGACAGATGTTGCAGTGGAAGTACTGTGACAAAGACACCTTGCTGCATTCTTTCTAATTAATGCAATGTATGTGTTCTTTCCAGCCAGGGTAATAGTTCTGGAAGGAATGGCAACGTTATTTTAACCTCACCCTAAAGCAATGTACCATTGCCTCAGGAACCATCTGCCTCAAGGGGTGACCTGTGTGATGGGGACAGGGCTGGACAAGGGGGAAAACAGAAGAATAAACAGCAGGGGACTTCTCCATTACAGCGGCTAGCTTGTGCTGTGTGGAATCCAATCCTGAAATTATTTAAGATACACACTGTGATACGAAATCTGAAGCATGATTACACTATAAACACACAATAAGATTTAATCTGTGCTCTCAATTCCTTTATATTATTAATTCTCACAAGGATCTTTAAATTTGCTTTAATAAAAAAGAATATAAACCACAGTGTCTTAAAATTAAAGCTTCACTTTAAATGTATTATGATTTCTTTCTGGTTTTGTTTCAGTAAGATTTTATTTTGTTAAAACCTTCTGCTTGAAGGTATACCTGGCTGTGGGAAGGTGTTCTAGGAGAAGGAGTGCCAGGTTCTCTCATTATAGAGTCTGTTTCCTGTCCTTGTTTGAGCTCTGTTTCCTGGGCTTCAGGTGCCCACTTTCAGGAATGATCTGAAAGTCGACAAGGAATTTTCTGGGATTCCAGCTTGTTATTTCACATGGATTGACCAAGTATAATTGGTGACTGAAAAGCTAATCAGGGCAGAGATGACACCCTCTGTCCAGTGCCCTGATCCTGTACCATGGATCTCATTTTATATGATCGTATCAGTGATCTGCACTAGCTGTGCTGTGACCACCTAGAAGCCATCTAAAGGATGAGGTCTGAGTGACAGGAGTGTAGTCTATGCTCAAGTGACCCTTTCATAAACCAACAGAGCCCATTCATGCAAAAAGGTACATGGTTGTCTCATGCTGCCAATTGCATTCAGTTTAACCACAAAAGTCATCAATGTTTAAGAAGGATTCAAATCTCAAAAAGACTGAAGGAAGTCCATTAACTGTGACTACCTGTGAAATTAACACAATAACAGTGCCTTACCGACTTTGAACAGACAAATGCACAGAGTTTAAATTTCCAACCCAAAATGAATGATGAGGACATAACAAGGAATAACAAGTCTGGAGCAAGACAATAACCAATCAGGAAAAGCACCAGATCCTGAATTCTGTGGATGACACAGACAGCCTACTGTCTCACCTATGATCCCGGTAGGACATGTAGACTCTTTCTTAGACTGCCACTTAAAATATGTTTTGCTTTCTTTGGTGGATATTCCATGGCTCTGTTCTCACCACCTTCAGTAAACTCCACTGAGAGTTAGATTTTACTTTCAAAGTTCCATGAGGGGCCTGTCAGCGCCTGCTTGCCGATGCTCTGACCTGAGAACAAGTGCCTCTCCTCAGTGTCTCTCAGAATCCATGTCTCACCAAGTTTTGGAATTTTCATGTTTATAAAACCAGTTGTTCACAAATTGCACCAAATGGTTTTCTGACACCTTTGGGTAAAGCTTGGCACTTTTGGATGTTAAATGCATAACTTTCTGTGCACTGATACTGGGGACTCAATTCCCTAGGGAGTAGTTTTCCAGAATACTCTAAAGTTTCTACAATCAATCCACCCTGACTCTCTGTTTGTTACAGACAAGTATTTGAGTCTGTAGAGGAGTCCCTTTCATTTCTACTATCTTAAGTCTCAACAATGACCCTTACAAACACACATGTATAGTTCCAAGAAAGCAAAGCATTTATAAGATACAAAATAGTCAAGGGTTTGTAGGAGCATTAGAAGGTAGACTAGAAGTGTCCAGTCATGTCTCTCCTGCTGCCTTGTCACCAGCTAGGGGAAACCTGTGAGGCTGTGGGATGTAGTTCACACTCAAACCACAGCAGTAACAGCTGCACACTGCGATAGCTTCTCTCTGGGATTGAGCATTATCAACCAGGACTGACCTCAGGTACATAGAACAGACATTGTTTATGTATGATATATGTATAGTATATAACTGAATTATATGCACAGCTGTTCATGCTGACTTCCCAAAGCTGTATACCTGTTTTTCTTGTGGTGCCACTTGCATCCCAGAACACCATGATAGAGTACATCTCCAAACATAGATATCAGCCCCTATACCTTTGCACACAAAATCTTGCACTCTAGGCTGGATCCCACCTACTGCCCAGCTCTGTGTCCTATATACCTGCAGGGTATTTAACAACCTGTTTTTACTTTCCTATCCTTAGATTAAATGTATTCACCATCAACAAACCCCTTTCTTGGTCTCCTAAATATATGATGCCTTTCTTCTATTTCAGTGTCCCCCTTCTCATTTAATGACCTACCTCTGCCACTCTGCCACACACACTGAAATCCAGGTCCAACACATCACAATACCCATGCTATTTGTCTTTAATACCCTGGTTTCATTTGCTGAACATAATAATCTCCATTTCCATATGTTTCCTATAAATGTCATGATGTCATTTTTTCTTTATGTCTGAAGGAAAGTATATTGAATGAGCACATTGTGTTTTCTTTATTCATTCATCATTTGGTGGATGTCTAGGCTGATCACATATCTTAGCTGTTGGCAATGGTTCAGCGGTGAGCTCAGGTGTATGAATGACTCAGGTATGTTGACTTAGCATCTCATGGATACTGAGCAGTGGAATAGCTGTCTTTCAGTTATACTTTTGTTTCTTGAGAAGCCTGCACACTGAATTCCCAGTGTCTGCAGTGGTCCACATCCCTGTCAACAGTGGGCACTGACTCTTTCCTTGGATTTGCATTTGTCATGA